TGCCGCGCGCGGTGGCGGCGGCAAAGGCGGCAGAGGCGGACGCGGGGGAGGTCAGCCAGGCGGAGTTGGGGGCAGCAGCGGTGGAAACAGCCAGCCCAAAGCCTGGGATGGCCCCAAGTGCGGAGCCAAGAAAAGCTGGGGCTCCAGGCGCGCTTGTCGCAGCTGCGGATTTGATTGGTGGGAGCAAGGATCTGGTGCAAGCTCGTGGTGGGGTGGCATGTTACAACTGGACGCCAAGGAACGCCACGAGCTCAACCAATTGCGGCGAAAGGTCAACAATCTCGAAGGGGATTTTCTTGCAGCTTCAGGTGGCGACGCAGGCGCAGCAGCAGCAGCAGCCCATTCCGCCCTGAAGGACGAGAGAGCACGACGACTGGGGAAGCTACGGAGGGACATCAAAATGCTCGAAGGTGTGGAGGGCGCAGCCGAGATACTGGCGGGCAAGCGGCAGGAGGCGCAGCAGCTGGAACACGAGCTCTCCGAGGAGAAGCCCACGTCCGTTCAGCTCAGCGAGCTCGAGCGCAAGCAGCGGAACCAGCAGAGCACCTCGGAGGCGGTTGCCAGGAATATCTCGGACACCGCGCAGGAGATCACGGGCGTCGAGGCGCAGGAACTCGAGCAAGTGGGCAAGCGCGAGCAGAGCAAGGCAGCGGAGAATGAGCTACAGGCGCTAATCGACAACCTCTTGGCCAAGCACAAACGTGAGCGTGAGGGTGCGCTCGGAGACGGAGCGGTGGGGTGGGCGCCGCAACAGCAGCGCCTCGGTCCCCGGCAGCCTTGCTCAGCGAGGGCGAACGCGCCTCAGCTTTCTTGGAAGCTTTGGACCAGGCCTCTGGCATGCCCAATGCAGGTTACGCTCAGCAGTGGGAACAGCAAGTCTCCCAGCTTCGTCGGCTGGTTCACAGCGTCGCATCAGCTGGTGCAGCAGCAGAACGCGACAGCGGCGACGAAGAGCTCGAGGAGGCTGACCCCAACAACATCCTGGACAGCATGGGCGAGGAGGTCGAGGCCCCCGCGGGGGGGGGGGGGGGGGGGGGCAGCGCGGCAGCAGGCGCTGGCAGCGGCGGCGAAGGGGCTCGACGCGGTGACCCCGCAGCCCGGGCCGCCCAGAGGCGCTGGCTTCGCGCGCAGAAGCCCATCCAGAGCCTCCGCTCCGCGGGGCCCAAGCGGAGGGGGGGGGGGGGGGCGCGGGCGGCAAGCCCACATTCACGGTGGTCAGCCTCAACGGCAGCGGCTAAGGTCCCTTCGCGACCATCCTTGGTGAGCATCACCCGCAGCAGCAGGTGGTCGCCGACGCGCGCGTGGGCGACGCGATCTGCTTCCAGGAGCACCACCTCAACGGCGACCGAGTCGTCGAGCAGGAGCAGTGGTGCAGGCAGGTCGGCTGGAGCGCGGCGCTGGCCCCACGCGTGAGTTCCGTGGGGGCTTCGCAGCAGCGCGCGGTGAGCGGCGGCACTGGAGTCGCAGTTTGCTCTACCCGCGGCATGTGCGGCCCAGGCGATCCGGGCTGCAAGGCCAGCTGCCGCGTCTCTGACGGCAGGGCCACGGTAGCCCACGTCAATGGAGCAGTCTCTGGCCAGTATTTGCTGGGCTTCGTATACTTGGAAAGCGACGACGTCGGCGAGACCAGCCAGTCCGCACTGCAGGAGGTCGGCTCTCTCCTTACGCGAACAGGGAAGCCGTGGGTCATCGCGGGCGACTGGAACGTGGAGCCCGAGCGCTTACTTCAGCGCGCGGGGCGTTCGCTCTGCGAAGTCGGCGGCCACGCGGTCGACATGGGCGCGGGCATTTGCCAGCGCTGCCCGACCAAGGGGCCCTCGGAGCTCGACTGGTTCATTGTCAGCTCTGAGATGTTTGACCGGGTCCTCGCCTGCGAGCGCCCGGACATGACCGCCCAGGGGTGCGCCAACCCTTGCCGCCCGCGCATGGCCGTGCAGCTCAGCCATGCCTGCTACGGCGGCATGGGTCAGTCGTTCAGGGTCAGGGGGCCCATGGCTTTCCCCAAGGCCCGCCCTTTCGGGCCCATGCCGGAGAAGTGCTGGGGCCACAACTCTGTTCGGGCCCAGATCGACATGAGCGGCGCTTTGCAGGGCATGGAGGAGGTCTACCAGGGGATCTGAGAGAGCGTTGAGGATGAGCTCGTCTGGGCTTGCCAGATCGACCCCGGCGACGCCGACTTCTACCGGGGGCGGGGGGGCCCGCCGAAGTTCGCTTTCGGCCCCCAGGCGAGGGCCCCAAGGCCAGCTTCAAGGGGAAGAAGCTCATGCACCTGAGCGACTACTTCACCCAGGTGAGGCTTCTCGCAGGCGGCGCTGAGGCCGACGGCGGGGGGCCCGCGCCCGAGGCGCGCCGCGAGCTGGGCCCCGAGCGCCGCGAGGCCGAGCGCATGCAGGCCAGGGCCATCAAGCGTTACAAGCGCGCTGGGGCGCCGAGCGCGCAGCTGGGTCTCCAACCCGAGCAACCCCGACTGCTGCGAGGACGAGGCCGAGTGGATGGAGAAGCGCGCACCCTACATCTTCCGCGTTCTGGGCTTGCCGACGCACGTCGCCGCGGGCCTGGCGCA